ACTCCCAGGTGTGTCTGTGGAGCCAGGGAGGGAGAGATTGCACATGGACTGGCTTGGCAGCTTCAAGGGGCTTTCACCTCTCTCCCTCCCTTCATTTCTCTCTGAAGCAAGAGAACTCAGCTCCTGCAACACCTCCTGTGTAGGCAGCACCTACTCTCGGAGAAATTTGCCTGGAGGAGCGGGTGCTGGTGGGACTCCAGAGGTGCCCAATCCCAAAGGAGAAGGTGAATCTCGAGGGGATGTGCCTCTGCTCATTTTCTCGTGTCCTCACCTTGCTCAGGAGAGCGACAGCACCCAAGGGTGGGGTGTGGGCAGGGGGTGCCCTGGTGCCCAGGCGTGTGGGGTGCCAGGGGGAGGAGGTGGTGCCCACGTGGAGCTCCAGCTCTGCGGGTGGGTGGTTGTGATGACGCGGCAGAAGCAGAAATTGTACAGTCAGACAGGGAGAAGATAGTTTGATCAGTGGAAATGACTAATCAGCAGAAAGCACCAGAATTTTCTGAACTCTTCTCACCTTTCTCATGTCTCCTTTCCTCCTTGCTGCAGGCAGACAGTACTTGGTGGGGTGGTGTGCCCGTGCTGTGGGACGCTTTGGGCAATGAGTGTTGTCGCTGGCACTGCCCCACGATGAGTGTTGGTGGCCCCATCTCAGGCTGGACTGTCCTGAAGACATTTGTTCTTCCTCCCAGAGCTGCGGGATGCTGTAGACACCTCTTTCTCTCCCTGCATCCCGTCCCAGATGCCCATGGACTCTGCATTCTGTTAATCCATGACTTTCCAGGACAGAGCAGGGCAGAGGCAGGGATTAAGTGCCTGTCCTGCTCGTGGGCTTGGAGACACCATCCCTCAGGAAAGGTCTGGTGTTTGTTCTTGATGGGCAGGGATGGGAAGTCATGCAGCCCACAGCCCTTATGAAACAGCTTGTTTGCTAACTGGGTAATGGTGCTCTCCAGCAAACTCTTATCCTTCACCAGCAGAGACACCAGCAAGAAAAGCAGCCACTGGTATTCCTCGTTAAGGGGAGAAAGAAAGTGCTAAATACCAGTATTGCTTGGTTAGCAGAGTGAGGGATGGCAGAGAGCTCTGAGCAGAGCACTTCTCCTTGCTGGTCCCGAGAGAGCAGGCACCACTGTCGGGGCAGAAAGATGGATACCTCGGAATTCGGTGCCCTCACACCAGCCTCTGGCTTTTTCCTCAAGTTGTCATCACCATCAGCTGGCTCAGCTGGTAACAGGGACTTGGGACAGACTGGTAAAAGGCCCAGAGTCACCAGCCCTGGGAGAGAAAGGGGGATCTTGGGATAGGAAAAGCAAGGCAAGGCAGCAGAGTGGAAAGAGAAGGACCACAGAGGCTGGTGTACACGAAACCACTAAAACCACTAAATACACAAGACTTGGGCTGCTATGGCCTCAGAGAGGCCAAGAGTGGCTGAAGCCTCCTCCATGAAGGAGGTCTGCACAGGGCCCATAAATAACCCTCTTGGAAATAAAGAACTGACTCTTAATTTATTCTACTCGGATCAAATCCTATCTGTTTATTTTTAGCCTGTGCTCTGCCTTGTGGTGCAGGCATGTGGCTGACACCATTTCTACCTGCCTGGGAGCCCTCTCTGGACACAGCCGTGGCCAAGTACATGGATGGGATTATCCTGAGAAGGGATGCACAGCCCTCCTTCCCTCCTACGGGTGACTTAAGCACGTTAAATGGGAAGGGAAGAAGGAAGAGAAAGGAATGACATCTATGTGGTTTTTCTGGAGTTGCTCATGCTGATAGCAAGCTCAGCAGAATGAAGACCTTTCATTTCACAGGTTCTTTCCTCCTTTCCCGCAGCTCAAATTGCCCTGCCTTGCACAGCACACACAAACACTGAGGTTGCAGGCAAAGTCCACTTCCGAGCCTGGCAGTGTGGGAGGAAGTTTTGTGATTAGGATGCACCTGTGAGCACATTCTTGAGCTCCTGTTTTTTTTCCCTCTGTTTTCATTTCCACGATGAATGGCCAATAGCGGCGTGTGGTCACCCAACCCTTTCAAGACGGGAAAGAAATCCAAAGAACAGTAATAATGGAAAAGATTAAATAGAGGAAATGTAACTTTCCTGTGCAAACCTGCTGCTGGGAGAGGAACCCCGCCTGCTGTTGTTATTCGGCAGAGCCTGAACTGTCGTGCTTTGCATGGCTGGAGGCCGTGCTTGTTTTCTGAGCAAGCCCTGTCTAACTCAAAGCTTGTCTGGTGCATTCCCACAGAGCCCCCTGATGGCTTTAGCTTTCATTCCAACAGCCTGCACGTTAATGTTTGGAGTAGCAGGGAAAGTCCCTGCCAACAGCAAAAGGCTTTCCTGGAGCCAGCAGAAGCTCAGGGTGAGATACGGGGGACAATAACCACCTCCTAGGCACCTCCTGGTGCCTTCTGCCTGGATGGTTGCTGGGCAGCCACAAGTTCCTGCCTCCCATCTGCCTCTCTCTTCCTGAGGCTTTCACCATGATGACTATTTTGAGCTGGAGCCCAGAATGGTCAGGTGCTTCTCCGGCCTCTGGACTGAGCCTGTGGTCAATCACACAAGGAGTGTCATGGGGGATCTAGTCCCAGCAGCCACATGGGGTTGATTTTTTTCTTAAATACTGCCAGAAAAGGGCTGGCAGAGCACTCCTGCTGTGGCAGTGGGTATGAGGAGGGCCGGGCAGTGCTGTGGAGGTGGCTCACCCCTGCTCTGTGAGAAGCATCCTGTGAAAACACTTTTGCAATGAGGTTGCACAAAGCTGGCTCTGTTGCAGGTGAAGCCAGTCCTGCCTCCCTCAGTGGCTGTGCAGTCCCACGCGTGATCCCACACACGGCCCTGACGTTGCTTGCCAGGTTTCATGCTGTCAGACTGGGGGCACACCCACAAGGGAGCTGACGCCAAGGCTGCCAGGGGACAGCCCACCCTGCTGGAACACTTTAGCCTGGCTTCACCTGAGCACAACACCTCACACTGGGACACAAACACTTGTGTTCGACCAGCCAGTGCCTATTTGCTTTCCTTGAGTAAGGAGGGCCAGGCCAGGGCAGCCAGCCTGCTTCCACACCTGCCTGGGGAGCCCTGGAGTGGTGACAGCACTGTCACACTGCTCCTGGTCCCTGAGCCACCGAGGTGAGGTGAGCACAGCCACAGCCCCAGTCCAGGGCTGGATGAGAGGTGTGTGGGGCCAGCGGCACAGCAGGAAGGAAACTTGCGCTGGAGGAAGGAGGTGTCAGGAAGGAGGACAGCGAGGCCACCCTGCAGGGATCTTGCTGGAGCCAGGTTACACAGCCTCTGAAAAACTAGACTGGAATGGGAAATATGCCTGAGGCAACACCCACGGTGTGAGCTGTCGGGGCGGAGCTGGGGCTGGCAGGGTCAGGGTGCTGACCAAGGAGGGAGCACTGCCCTGCTGGGACTCCCTCGGCAGCCGACAGAGCGTGGTTCCTGCCCTGCCGTGATCATCCACAATATGCCGATGGGAGCAAAGCAGCGGTGATGTGTCTTGAGGGCTGATGGCTTCATTGGACATGGCAGTAAGAGCACCAGCCCAAGGACAGAGCTGGAGAACTCCTGATGTCGGTGTGATGACAGCCCAAAGCCTGCCTGGCCAGGCCTTTCGCTGCTTCAGAAAGCACCTGGTCATGGACTGAATCCCTGCTGCCACCTGTAAGGGAGGAAGGACATCTGTGTTCCCAAGGCCACAGCCAGGTAATGCCCTCACTGCCCAGCCACATGTGGGTCTCTCCCGTGGCCACATGTCTTTCCCTAAGCCCATACAGCATGGATCAGCCTGGGAACAATTCTCCTGGGGTGGCTTTACCCTGGCCACCCACTCAGCCAGGGGACATCACTGTGTGTTCATTGGCCTCTCCCCCAAAGACCAGCTTGGGCTTCTTCCCATCCTTGGCTTCTTCTGTCTCTTGGCTGCCCAGCTTATCCACCCACAGCTGCTCCTGTGTGCTCCAGCACCCCTTCAGTGCAGGGATGAAGGAGAGCAGGTTCACAGTCATTGCTTGGGGCCCCATGAGCTGCACCCAGCCTCTCCATGGGCAGGATGGGATGCAGGCAGGGCAGGCAGGGGGGCAGGATGGCCTTCCTGGCACCAGCACTGGGTGGGAGCCAGCGGAGCAGGTGCATGTGGGTCCCCATGCTGCCCTGCCCAGCCCATATCAAAAATAGTCCCAGAAAGGGACCCAGAGGGAAGGGCTGGAGGTGCCAAAGAGCTTGTCCTGGCCCATGGGGAGTTTTGGATCTAGACACAGATGCTGCCTGTAACCTGTGTGAGTCACTGAAGGACTCGGAGTCCTTTTTAACACGATGCTTTTTGCACACTGTGGGTCAGCCTGGAAAAACCCAGGTGCTGTTGTCCCCTCCCTGTGGTTGGGATGACTTTGAGCTCCCAGCTACGGGAGTTGGCTAAGGAACAGCCTCACTTCTCAATAGCTTGTTTATGAGGATGCAAACACCTCACCAGCATAAAAACAACTTCATGCCAAGTAGCCACCGTTTCCCAGTGCCCTAATCCTGGCAGCCACTTCCTCAGTTATATTTTCATTTCTGTTTTCTCTGCCCCCTTTTCCGTGGCTGAGCAGCTGCTGAGCAATGGCAGAGCCGAGGGGCAGTGGCCGGGGGGCACCACGGGGCTGCACACCGGAGCTGCAGCAAGGCCATGGAGACACGGGGGACCTGTCCCTGTTATTTATGGCAGGGGCGAGGCGGTGTGCCCCCTGCTCTCCAGCCGCAGCTGCTGCCAAGGCATCGCGGTTCGAGGATGGACCAGGGGGCAGGGGGGCCTGGGGCAGGGGGTCCAATACAGAGCCGGGCCCGGCGCCGGGGTTTCGGCTGCTATCGCAGAGCGGAGCCCCCCCGCCGCTGTGCCGCGGTCCGGTGCCGGCGGGGGCGGTGGCGCTCCGGGGCAGCCGCTGCCACCCGGGCCGGCCGCCAACCCCCCCGCCCCGCCGGGCGTGCGCAGGGACCGCCCCGCCGAGCCTCCGTCCGACCGGCTGCGGCTGCCGGGGGCCGGGACCGGCGGGGCCGGCACCCCCCGGGCGCGATCACCCCCTGCCCGGGATCAGCCTCTGCTCGGGATCAGCCCCTGCTCGGGATCGCCCCGTACCGCGGACTCCGCCCGGTGCCAGCCCGGCTGCGGCTGCGGTGTCACCGCCCGCAGCAGCGCGACAGCGGCCGCGGCCGGGCACGGCGACCTGCGCCGCAGGTGAGAGCCGGGGCCTGGGGTTTCGGGGCGCGGAGGGGAGACCGGGGCTGAGCGGGGAGCGAAGGGATGGGACCTGTGGGCCCGGAGCTGGGGATCCCTGCGCGCGGGTCTTGGGGAGGGCCGGGGGGCGGCCGTGTCCGCGTTACGGACTGGGATGCCCGGAGCCCCCTGGTTACAGACTGGGATGCTGGGAGCTCCTTCGTTACAGACAGGGATGCTGGAAGCCCTCTGGTTACAGACAGGGATGCTGGGAGCCTCCTCGTTACAGACAGGCGTGCTCAGAGCCCCCTGGTTACAAACAGGGATGCTCAGAGCCCTTTCGTTACAGACAGGGATGCTGGGACCCGCCGAGGCGGCAGTGACAGCTCGAACGCGGGCAGCTGCCTGGGAGGAAGGGCTGGGGAAACGAAAGCTGCTCCTTCGCTCTCCAGCTGCTCCAACGCTGCCCAGAAATGCTGCGTTTTAATTTTGCACAGTTCCCTTACCCCTCCGATGCCTCAGGCCAGGGGGATGAGCAGAGGGAAAGAGGTTTCTGCAGCCTGGGGAAAACCCCCCAAAGCAGCTGCGTGCTCTGGGGATGCTGCTGCAGGGATCAATGCTGGCATGCTCTGAGCTGCAGGACATCTCTCCAGGGCTCAGGGGGTGTTTCAGGTCAGGTCTTTCCACCTGCCTCCACCACAGCCCTTCCTCTGAGCAAGGGTTTTGCCTAGGCAGAGGACACTGAGCTTGTCCAACAGTCCTTGATGGAAGTCCTTCTGCCTGGACACCTTGGAAGCATCCAGAGGGGTGCAGAAAAGTGTCTCCTACTTCCCATGTCCTGTAGCAGCCAGTGCCATGCCACAGGCAGGGGAGGCAGCCAAATTGCAGAGGGCAGGGATGACAGCTGGCAGGGTGACGTACCCCTGTCAGGCAGGTGGAGGTCCAATGCCCTCTCACTTGTGTTTGCTTGCTGTGCCAAACCCAGCTCTCCTCCGGCACAGCAGTGGGCGAATGCCAGAAGGGAACATTCTCCCTGCTTATTAGCTAGACCCTCCCCAGCAGAGGCTTAGGTTGTCCTACCAGCCCCTCTCCCTGCTCCCACTGCAGGGGCCTGGGGCTGCACCTTCCAAAGTGGGCACCTGGCTTGTTGCAGTGTGGCTGTGGAGGTTGGCACTGGCTGGGTAGGCAGTGGAGAGCAGGGACAGAGCCGCCCTTCGTGTGCTGCTACTTGTGCCATCTTGCTTTTACCCTGCCAAGCCACCTCTGCTTTGCCTTTGCTCTTCACCTCCTCCACAGGCAGGTGGAAAGCCTGGCAGAATTCCTCCCCCTGGCTGGGGTCTGGATCCAGCCAAGCTGTGCACTATGCTGGTGTGGGCCGTGCCACATCTTTCTCTCTCAAGGCCTCCTGCCAGGAATCAAGCACTATCTGTGATGCTTTGGGAGCTGCTCCATCCTGCTCGGTATCAGTTAGAGCAGAGCATGTTTCCTGAGAAGAAAACAGTCATGAATCAGCTCTGATTTTCCACACTCTCTGCAGGCAGACACAAGGCAGTGCCCTGTGCCAGGCAGGGCACAGGCATTGCATACCAGGGGCTGCCAGTGCATCTGGCAGAGGCGTCAGCAGCTTTGCCCACCTCTCCCCCCGTCCCAGTGACTTTTAAACCAGCTCTCGCTGTCACAGAAACATCTCTTGTTCAAGCACTGCAGAAACACTCTTTGTACTTTGAACAGGGCCCTTACAGACAAGGCAAGGTGCCAGGCGCCAACAGCCGGGGTAGGGAGGAAACAACTGGCCCTGGCAGCAAGGAGCTGGAGCAGAGGTGGCAAACCCCACTCTGCCCTCGAGGACAGCCCCAGCACAGTCCCAGAGCTGGGTGGGAGCTGCCAGGCCCCTGCCTGCACCTGGGGGCCCCTCTTGCCCGTACCCTGGCCCCGCACGTGGTCCCTGGAGTTTGGGCACATGCGTGTGTGTGTGTGGCAAGTCTCTGCCTGCCACACGTGGGTGTCTGCCCACGGCAGCCAGACTGTTCCTGCCTTGCAGCACTTCACTGTTTTACGGTTTTGGAGTGTCATCCATGTCTTGCTTGTAAATGCAGATGGATTGAGTGTCCCTGGGGGTGTGCTGTATGGTGCCCCTGGTACAGGAGAGGGAGCGCGGCCACTGCTCTGGGTTGGGCACCAGAGCACCAGCCTGCCCTTGCCACAGCCTGTCCCTACCCCCTGCCACCCCTGCAGAGTGCCCTGCCGAGATGGCGAGTGCCAGTGGGGCGGAGCCTGATGCTGAGAATGCAGAGGAGGCTGAAGAGGCCATCTACGAGGAGGTGCTGCCCTGTGACAGGATGGAGCTGAGCCAACGGCTGGCCGTGGAGGAGCTCATCACTACTGAGGCCAGCTACGTCCACAACATCCAGCTCTGTGTGTCGGACATCCGGGCACACCTCCAGAAGAAGCAGGTGAGGTGGGGTACATCCCCCTGCCCATGGGCTGGGCACTGTAGGGTGAATCTGTTGAGAGCTGCAAGATGCCCAAACTCCTGCAGGGAGGTTACCATGTGCTCACCTTCCACCTTCCTGCCTGGGCTCCCCCTGACCAGCCAAGGTCTAGGGTTGGATGGGCATTGGGTCTGACCAAGTACAGCTATCCTACAACTGTAACCCTGTGTCTGTAATGTGAAAAGACCTCACTGCCCCACTTTGGAGCACAGACAGGTCTCAACATTCCCAAAACCTCCTGAAACAGAGCATTGCTCCAGGTCCTGGGGTGTCACATGGGGCAGATGAGTGCTCGGGGGGCGTGAGTGCCTCTGGAACACACAGCTCATCTCTGACGTATTTGGCTTAGCCTGGGGCATCTTTGTTCCCTTCAGCTGCCTGATCTGGACCTGGAAGGGCTCTTCTCTAACACCGATGACATCCTCCATGTCTCCAGACGGTTTCTGAAGGGTCTTGAGGCCACGGCCACCCAGGGGCAGGAGCAGGAGCAGCTGCTCTGCATCAGTAAGTGGTGCACTGCCAATAGCTGACCTGTGCCCACCCATGCCTTTGCTGGTGCTGGCAGTGCCACTGCCCAGTGCTGGGCATGTGTAGATTCCATCCCTATCCCACCTGCCCTGACACCTCCTGCACCTCCCCTGGCTCTGGGAAGTGCTGCTGTCAGCACATTGGTGTCCGCAGGGAGCCCGCCCCACAGGGGCATGGCAGACCTGCCCAGCCTGCAGACAGTGGAGGGGGAAAAGCATCAGGCCCAGCTAGGCAGAGGTGCCTGGGTGCAGAGCACTGCCCTGTCACCCTTGGCTGGCACTGCTTTGCTGGCTTCACCCTTCCAGCAGGCTGGGAAAAAACCCCCACTCTCGGAGGGGTTTTCTCTGAGGCCATAGGAAAGGACCAAACTTTCCAGCCTCACTCTCCTTCCCCAGGCACCCTGTTCCATGAGTTCAAGGAAGAGATGGAGACTGTCTACAAGATCTACTGTGCCAGCTACGACCATGCCCTCCAGCTGGTGGAGAGCTACCGCAAGGACCCCAGGCTGCAGGAGGAGATCTTGGAGACTCTGAATGCAACAGTGTAGGTACCTGCTGCTGAGGCCACCACCTTCCTCTGCCTGTTTTACCTACTGGCTTTGCCCTTCACCTCTCTGGACAAGCTACCTGTATGGATATGTGTCCCCAGCCTGGGTGTAATATCATGGCCACTACCTTTGTGGCATTTCCTGGTGTAATCCCTGGCAGCCTGTCCTGGATCCTTGGGGCCACTTGCCAAAGGGCCACTACAGTTGGTGATTTTTTATGGTGGACCCCAAAATAAAGGATGGGTGTCATGGGCAGCTGCTGCCTCCCCCACTGTGCCCCATGAAGGGCACATGTTCCCCAGCTTGACCAGAGAGACAGGCTGCCCCTGGAGGACCTTCCAAACCCATCCTGAACTATCAGGTGGGTCACAAACACTGTTAGAGCCAGGACATGCAGGAGTGGCAGTGGAGGAGCTCCTGGGATTTGCTGCTTAAATCATGGGTGATGTGATTCCTGAATGAGATATGTCTTGCCTTTGGGTCAAAGGGGAGTCTTGCCTGCACTTTGCTCACCCTCTCCCTCCCTGTTGCCCACAGAGTGAGCACAGATCCCGTGTCTCATAGCTAGACAAGCACAGCACTGTTCAGGGAGGCAGCGTGCCCACGTGGGGCTGGCACTGCCCTCGGGGCTGGCGGGGACAGCAGTGGCCCCGCAGCTGGAAGGAAGCAAGGGTTCACAGCCAGAAATCTCCCATGACTTTTGAGCTGCTGTCTCCCCAAAACACTCACAGAGAAGCTGGCAGGAGCAGCAGGGCAGGAAGGCAGCTCTCCACACCAACCTTGAGCAATTCCCCTCTCCATCAGGCCTCACACAGGCGCATCAGACCTCAGCTTCTTCCTGGTGATGCCGGTGCAGAGAGTCACCAAGTACCCACTGCTGCTGGAGAACATCCTGAAGAACACCCCGGCCAGTTCCAGTGCCCACTCAGCCCTGCAGGCAGCTGCTCGTGCCATGGCCCAGGTCAACGCCAACATCAACGAGTACAAACGGCGCAGGGAAGTAGGTGAGTGGTTGGGGGGCTCGGTGCAGGCAGGGGGCACAGCCCCTGGGAACCCCCAGCCCAACCCCAGTTGTCTCCCCTTGGTGTTGTGTTAATTCCCACTTAAATCAGTTCAAAGCTCTCCTGCTCTCCACCCATCCTGCCTGGTGGAGCCACACACTCTGTGCAGGCAGCTCCTGGAACTGCTCTGGTCCTGTAAATGCCACTCTGGGCAAGACCTGAAGGCTGCAGGAGCAGAGTGGCATGGGCAGGGGGGCTGAGGATAAAACCAGTCTGTCTGCATTCCTGGGTCTGGGGAACTGAAAAGAACACTCCTGCCCTTGGGACAGGAGAAATCAGGCTCCCCACAGATGGGAGCTTGGCTTCTTTTTGGTTTTCCTAGTACTTTCGTTCTTTGATGTGGGTTGTGCTTATCCTGTTGATCAGCCCCAGCCCCTGTGCTGTTCACCCTTGTTGCCTGCTCAGGCTGCTGAGGATGTTGCCATGAAGTCTCCTCTTCTGATCTTTTCCCCCCCTCACCTTGTGTCGCCCCCACCCGAGGCAGCAACCAAATACAACAAGGCCGAGCACCTGACGCTGCGGGATCGCCTGGCGCGCCTCAACACCCACTCCATCGCCAAGAAAACCACGCGGCTGAGCCGGCTCCTCATGCACGAGGCCGGCATCGTGGCCAAGGTGGGCAGCCCACACCCCTCTGCCTGCGCCCAGGGACCTGCTGCCTCTCCTCAGGTCAATTCTGGGGCTTTCTGCTGCTCCCGAGGTGCCTCCCCCAAGGAATGGGGAGCGTGGGGCCAGGGTAGAGTGGCTGATGCTGACACAGGAGCCACAGTCCCATGTTGGGGCAGCCTAAGGATGCCTCCTGGTCCTCCATCCCAAGGACCAGCAGGGCAGGAGGGATGCAGGGACACACCTCGCTCCCTTCCTCGGAGCATTGCAGGGCAGAACTTTGGCCCCCAAAGGACCTACAGGATCCTTGAGCATCCCAACAAAAGCAAAGACACCCTAGTGTTCCACAGCACCATGATCACACCAAAAGCCTTCTTGCTGCCTGCACCCCAAGCAACCCATGTCTTGGCCCCTCTCCAGATTCCTGGAGCCCCTCAGAGTCTCCCCTGCCTGTCCCCAGCCCTGTAGCTTCAGGCAAGTGCCTGGCTGCTATGTTAGCCCCCAGCAATGGGGACCTGGCTGGTGATGAGCTGCCTCTTGCCTTGCAGACAGAGGATAAGGAGTACGATGACCTGGAAGAGAAATTCCAGTGTGTGGTGTCCAGTGTGGCCACCCTGAAGGAGAACGTAGCATCCTACCTGGGCCATTTAGAGGTAAAACCTTGACCACTGGCAAGGGGTTGGACCTATTCAGGCTTCAGGACCTGTTTGTTGGGATTGTAGAACACTTAGGAAAGCAATAGCTGCTGGGGATGTTCAGGGATTTGCAGCTCAGCTAAAGTGTCCTGTTGTGTCAGGGAGTTGCACAACATCCAAGGATTGCTCAGGTCCAGGGGAGCTTAAACCAAAGCTGAGGCTTTGACAACACAATCTGAGCTGGTGTCATTTGAGAATAATCTGTCCTTAAACTTATCATTATTTCAAGGTCTTAAATGACTGAAAAGGCCAAGTGTTGTTCAGCCTGGGGATTCTTGCTTTAATAACGGATGTAAGGCAGAAATGTCCCCATATCAGTCCTGACAACAAATTTCCCTTCTGAAATCACCTGGGTCAGCAGCTACTGTGATTTTCTCATAGAAATTCCTTGGGGCATCTGCGGGAAATGAAAGTATGAGCGATGGCAAAACATGCAATCCCCAGACAGCATTATCAGGAAAGCCTCAGGAAATGGCAGAGGGTTCAGAAAGCAGCAGTTCATGGGCTGGAAAGACCTTGTCATAAAAATATTGAGAAGGGCTCCCCATATAGGATTGGGCAGGAGGTAAGGGAGTCTGATGCTTTCTCCCTTTCAGGCATTCCTATTGCCCGCCCCACACCAGCGTGACCTGCAGATGGATGAAGGACCTGCCCAGCAGTATCGGCACTTCGCAGAATGCCTCCAGTACACTGTTTTCCCAGAGTTTGTGAGTGCTCCTTCCCTGCACATCTCCTTCAGCCAAGCATTGTTCTCCCCACCCTCTGCCAGGGCACAGTGGGGGGCTGGCTGCTCCCGCAGGGCAGCCAGGAGCTGAGGGGGACCCCAGAGCAGTGTCCTCACAGTCCCCTGAGGCCTCAAATTTGCAGCAGAGCCAGGAGCAAGTAACAGGATCCATCAGCAGTCCCAGACACACGAAGTGAGGAACCAGCTTCAGGGTCCATCCAGGAGAGAAGGGAGGGCCTGGGCAGAGTCACAGCTCCAGAGCCCATCCAGGACTGGAGACAAGCTGCACTGTCTGTCTGATGGGTGCATCCAGGAGCTGGGCTACCTATAGCAGAGATCCAAGGACACAGAAACCAGCACACCCACAGTAACACTCAGGCAGGGGCAGAGGGCCCTTAAATGGGCTGTGGGCAGGAATGTGGAGGGAGGCCCAGGTGAAACCGGTCTGGGCCATTAAGGGCTCCTACCTGGTCATTTGCATGGAGCACAAGTTTGGAATTGTGGCAGGCATGACTGCTCTCTACCAAAGGTTTGCTTTGCTTGGCATCCTATGTGCCTTCAGGAAAAGATGCCTCAGATGCTTCCCACTCCACACAAAGCCCCTCAACAGGTCCCCAAGCCTTTTATGCCCCATAAGACAGTGCCCCATGCAGGCAGCTGGTCCCGTTTGGGGAGCTCACATGGGGGTTTGGGTTCTCTCACCTCACAGAAGCGACGGCTGGACAGGCTGGTCTGCCAGCCCCTCAACAGCCTCTCAGACATGCTGGTGGGGCCACAGCAGCTGGTCAAGAAGCGCCTGGACAAGCTGCTGGACTACGAGGAGATCCAGGAGCGGAAGAGCGAGATGGGCAGCGTGACGTATGACGAGGAGGCAGCCATGAACACCTTCCTCGCCATCAATGACCTGCTCGTGGCGGAGCTCCCGCAGTTCAACCAGGTGGCTGTGCAGCTCCTGAGGCAGATCCTGTGCTCCTTCAGCACCCTGCAGCGGGACTTGGCTGCCCAGGTCCTGCAACAGGCAGAAAAGGAGCTGCAGCAGGTGAGCGTGACCCGTCGGCGTGTGTGCCCAAACAGGCACATGAGCTGAGCCAGACCTTCTGTAGGCTTGGGACATCTCAGACATCCAGGCTCTGGAGGTTTGCTGTGGCCCAAGCCCACCCTTGCAGACACACAACTCCCTGTCTAGGATTTGTAAGCAATCTCTCCTCCTCCCTGCCTGGGGAAAGCCAAATTTTTTCCTCTGCACTGCCAGACACTGTCCTGCTTTCTCTTTGCGGACACGACTGGTAATTTATTGGTGTGCTGCTGCCTGAGAGATCAGTGTTAACTCTGAGCTCCTGAGAGCTCTGTGCCAGGAAGGCAAGGAGGAGAAAGGCAGCTCCTGGCCTGAGGAACAAGCATCCCTCAACACCCATCACCTAGGAGATGTCTCCCAGAACTCCTTCCTGTCGTACTCTTGAGCCTGATGCAAACGTGGAGGGTCAGGGCAGTTGAAAGCCCTGGGGCAGAGCATGGCTCTGGGCTGATCCATGATCAGGATGAGAACAAGGTGCAGCCAGGTGCAGGTGTCCTCTCTGGCACTGCTCATACCTAGTCAGGAGGGTGGGTTACCCTTGCTCAGTCTGGGCTGCTTATGCTGCACACATCTACCCTGGAGCTACACCTACCTGTCTCCCTTTATAGTCATTTGGGACAGGCTGTGAGCTCAGGGCTGGACAGCAGGAGTGAGGGACTGCTCTGGTTGGCTGGATACAGCCCAAGAGCCCCACCTGTGATGGTCCTGCCCAGAGAAAGTGGCTCACAGTCAGAGAGGTGCATCTTTATTGGCCAGGTCTGTTCTCTTGCTTTCTCAACCCTTTTCTTCTTGCTCCTTCTCTTCTGACCCTACCCACAGCTCTTCCTCTCCCCAGGGCCCTCTCTGATCTCAGATTTTGTCTCCACAGATGCCCCACGGCCACATGCCTCTGCCCAGTTTCTGGAAGGTGGTGGAAGACACCTTGCAGCAGTCAGGTGCTCAGCTCCAGGCCTTCTGCCAGACCTTTGAGACTGTCACGCCGAGCCCTGTGACACAGGTAGGGGTTGGGAAGCGGATGTCTCAGGCCAGCTGGATAAAGAGATAGGACTGTGGCCCCCCAGTGCAGGACATCCCCTCAGCAGGGAGGTTGGCTCAGAAAGTGACCCAGAGGGTTGCCGTGGCCACAGTATTTCCCTCTGACAGCAGCTGGCTGGAAATAACCAGGGATGAGGCAGCTCAGCAATTCTGGTTCTGGACACTCATCTCCAAACCATGGGGTAGAGCAGATAGCATGAAGGAGGTTAGGGGTCCTCTAACCTCTCACTGGGATGTGATCCTGCAGAAGGGAGGGAATGTGTACACAGAGGGCCTCAGTCTCCTGTGTGTTTCATCAAGTGCTCCCATGTCTCCTGCTCCCCGCCAGCCTCTGAACCCTGCTGAGGAGCGGAAGGTCCTTTCCCTTGTAAGCAAGCACGGCCCAGACAAACTTTACCAAGTGACAAGCAACATCAGTGGCAGCAAAGACTTGGACCTGACCTTGCTGAGGGGACAGATTGTCGCTCTGCTGCAAAGTGCCGACACGAAGGGGAACACGAGCAGATGGCTGGTGGATGCTGGAGGTACCGTGAGTACGACGGGCAGCTTCCCCCCGCCTTGGCACCAGGGTCAGGAACCAAACCCACACCACTTCCTCATCCTGGATGAAACAGCGGGCCATGGACTCCTGGGTCCTCCCTTCCAGGCTTTGTTCAGCCCAAACCCACCTCAGCTTTGCCAGCTACACCCGTTGCCATTAGCTGTGAGGTTCAGGCTTCCCGATTTATTCCCTGAGGGAATACTCATGAAGTGTTGTGGCTGAGAAAGGAGAACCCATGCACACAGAAACACATGGAATTCTTCTTTTGTGGGAGGGGGTTTCTTCTGGATATCCCCTAGTGATGGACTAGTTTGAACACGTCTGCTGGATATCCCCTAGTGATGGACTAGTTTGAGCAGGGCTGCTGTGCCAAGCCAAGCAACAGCCGAAGTGTCATTCCTCTCTCCTCTGACTGGTCCTACATGTGTCAGGTAGTGGGGCCCCATGACGTGTGTGTGTCCATGTCCTCCAGGTCCCCGAGGGTTTGTGCCTGCTGCAAAACTCCAGCCGTATTCCCCGGTACAAAGCCAGCAGCGCGGGATGGATTTGCTAACCCCAGAGAGTGACACAGAGAGAAGGAGACATTCCTATGCATTACCTGAAGCTCCCAAGCCCCAGGTGGCCACCTTCACCCCGACATTCCAGGTGAGAGCGGGGGACACTCCCAGGGCCATTCCTAGCAATACCACCAGCTCTGTGCTAGTTCTTGTGTGGATGGGAAGGTGGACCTGCTTTTCCAGCACACACATGGTCATATATGTGCAGCCACGTGCCCAGCAGGGAGTGTCACACCCCCATCTGAGTGTCACATGAGGCTGATGTCCTCCTTGCTGGCACCAGGGTGGACAGAGCAAGACAACTGTGCTTGGTGGGTCCCCAGTGTCCCTCCATGCGTGTCATTGCGGCGCTGCCCTCTCAGAATGGCCTGCCCTGCCGTGTGTGTCCATCTCCCTTTGACTCTCATGTCCAGCAAGGGCTTCCTCCCTCCTTCCCTGCCTTTCGCAGGTGGTCGCCGGCTTCTCCTTTGCAGCCAGGAGTCCACACGAGGTGAATCTCCAGGCAGGGCAGCCCGTGGTGGTGCTGGAGCCGCACGACAAGAAGGGGAGCAAGGAGTGGAGCCTGGTGGAGGTGAACGGCCAGAGGGGTTACGTGCCCTCCAGCTACCTGGTGACTGTCCCCGTGCAGGAGCCCATGGGCTGGAGCTTGCCCGTGTGAGCATGGCCAGCCCACACCCAAGGGCACGGGCTTCATCGGATGGGAGCAGTCGGCTTGGCACCGGAGGACTCCTCACGGGAGATGCTGGAGGGAGGCAGCCCCGGTCTGGGAAGGTGGTGGGAGGCACCTGGCAGAATACAGCCCGGGGGACAGGGGCGCAAGGATGGCGCTGGAGGAGTGGTGGTGGGAGGCGTGAGGGCGTCGTGTCCCGTGTGTGTGTGTTTGCACAACGCAAAGCAGCCCTGAGGGAGTGAGGGCAGGTGGCTGCAGCTATCCAGGGTTTTGCTGAATTCTTTGTCAGTGACAAATGTGCCCCAGGGGATGATGAGGCAGCATTGTCCTGGTTAGATCAGGACTGAGTGGCAAAGGTGCAGCGCTGCAGAGGGGCCCTAAGCCAGGCATGGGGCACCTGGGCACTGGGCACTGAGCACCTCGGCATCTGGGCATCTGCACAGCTGGGAACCTGGGCAACTGGGCACCTGGGCAACTGGACACGGGGGCACTCGGGCACTTGGGCACCGGGGCACTTGGGCACCTGAGTGCCTGCGGCAGCGCTGGCCTGGGCCGGCGGCCCCGCGCGGAGCGGCCACCAGAGGGAGCCCCGAACTAGCGCCCAGTGCCCGCTTGGCGCGTACTGGGAGCACTGGTGCGGGGGCCTTGGGGTGCGGGAGCACAGCCCGGTATGGGACGGAGATCCCGGCTCCCAAGGCTCCCTGAGCGCCCCATCCCCCTACGACCCGGCAGTTGTCGGAGGTCCCGTGGAAAAGGTTTTTGGGAGAATCAGTAAGTGCCGGTCGGTCCCTGACCTAAGGCTCGATCCTTCCCCTCCCACCACTCCTGAAGCGCCCCAGCTCCGTGCCTCAGCTTCACTGCCGTTGTGCTGGCACTGTTTGGAGATGCTGATGGGGCTGAAGGTTGGCAGCCGTGCCCACGGCAGCACTGCCATGGTGTCAGAGCCCCCAGGGCACCGCGGGAGAGCTCAGACCACGGGACCACGCTGCCCACCCCTCGCCCACCGTGGGCAGTGCAGGCACCCGCCGGTTCGGCAGCCTGGCGTCGTCCCGGCTGCCCTGGGCATCCGCATAAAAGGTGCGGTGTCTCGGCTGGCGAGCGCCAGCACGCCGGGCCCCGTGCCCTGCCCGGCGGGGAGGCAGCACGCCCGGCCACCCACGGGCTCCCCGGGGGTTGTGGGGGCTGCGTGCAGGTTCCTGCACTGCAGGGGGGCAGAGGTGGCATGTCCTCACACAAGCCTTGTGCCATGTGGGGAGGGACGGGGTGGGTGCCAGGCAGGTGAGGACAGGCCCCAGACACTGTTGTGTGCACCCCACATGTGGATCCATGTGCCTGGTTTGAGGCAGAACTCTGTGGGGTTCACTCTCTGTTATAGCTGCAGGGTCCTGGGGTGTTATCTGTGAGGAGGCTGGGGGCAGCTGCCTCTGCCCAGCTGCCATTGGAAGCCCTGAGCAAATGCACCCACATGAAACCTCGAAGGGGACAGCAGTGCTGGAGTAGGGGTTGTTGCCTGGGGATGCTCCCAGCCTGGGGAAAGGCTGATGAGTTCCTCAGGATGGGAGAACAGGCAGGCAGAGGGAATGAGGATCATTGTGCAGGAGCTGTGTGTCTGAGGCTTATCTGCCCACAGAGCTCACACCTCCAGCTCGCTGCTGATGGCTCCTCTGGATTTTTCTGTTCCTAATCAAACCATATCAGATCGGATTTCCCTCCCCAGTCACCTTCCTGCCAGCTCAGTGGGGTGCAGTTGCAATCAGCCCTGCACCAGCACAGGCAATAGCAGGAGTCAGTGGCTCGGGCAGGTCCTGTTCCACAGCCTGGGAGTTCCCAGGACCCTTCGGAGGGTTAAAGGTGACAGTGGGACAAGGAGCGCTGAGAGATGACTGCTGCCTGGGCACTGATCTGCCCTCTGGAAGGAGATCTGGGGCAGGCAGGACTTGATAGCCAGTTGAGTTTTGTCTGTCTCTCACCAGGACTCTGGATTTCACGTGCTCTGAAACAGCAGCTCTCCTTTTCCTCCCTCCAGCCACTGCCGGTGCTGCCTGTGTGTCAGTGTGGGTCAGGAGGAGTTCTTTGCCCAGCCTGCAGCCAGCACAGGGGCTGCAGGACATAGGGAGGTGTCCCAGATCCCTGCTGCCTCTCCTGGGTCCCCACTCTATCCATCTACCCAAGCCCATCTACCAGCGCTCGCCAGGCTGACAGGCTTGCAGGGCAAGGTGGAAACAGTTCCTGCACATCCCACAAGCAGATGTACAGGAGCCACCCTCCAGTGCCCTGCAGGAGACACTACACTGGGGACATGCTGCTTGTGTCAGGCAGCAGCTGCCTGTCCTCTGTCCCTTGTCAGATAAGGCGGTTGTGCTCCAAGCGAGGTGCAGCCCAAGCACCAAGAGGGTCCTTGGTAAGGTGCTGAGCCAGCCAGCACTATCACCCTGCCCAGCAGCAGTGGGACTGGTGTCCTGCCCACCCCAAGATCCTGGTGGCGGATGGTCCCAGCTAGGAAGAGGGAATCAGCTCATGTGGCTCCTCTGGTCTTTGGATCCAAAGGGGTGAGCTGGGCTCTGCAGTTGCCACCAGCCCTGCTGCCAGCCTCAATGGCCATGGGACCTTCACCATGTCCTCAGGACATGGCCTAGTACTTGACTGCAGGACACAGATGCCAACATCCCTCACTTCTCTCATGATTTCACCCAAACTCATTGCACTGCTGCTGCCCTGAGTCTGGAAGTGCCCTCTTGGAGTCCCTGGTGGGTACAGGGCTCTTCCAGCCTAAACACGACAGGGGATAAAGGGCACAAGTGAGCCTTTAAATAGCCCGTCAAGGACAGGCTCTCCCAGGAGGAATGCTCTGGCTGGCCCGGTGGAACATGCCTGTGGCCAGGGCATGGGGTGACAGCTGGGCAGGGATGGCTGCTCAGGAGGTCAGGTCAAGGTTAGGCATCGCCCTGGCCGGGTGCCACGGCGCCGTGGCTTGGCACCACAGAGGCAGAGCCATGCAAGGGGGAGGGAAACACATGCCAGGCCGGGTTTTTGCCATGCCCAGGGCTGATCTGTGAGGTGGCAGCAGAGCCAGGCAGGCACTGCTGCCTGCAACCTGCCTGCCAGCCTGCAAGGAATTTGGCACTGGCACAGCCTGGCTGCCAGAGCAGCCTCTGGGGCAACTCCGGTCATCCAGGAGCGGCTGTTGCACTCCTGTCCAGGCTGATTCATATCCTGGACGTGCAGGCATTTGGACAGCGTCCACCTGTGGGGTGTGACAGTGCACGGCCATGTCCCCAGGGCATGGGGCACCAGCACAGCCGTGGGCCGGAGAGCAGCATGGTGGCAGCTCAGACCCTGTTCTCCCCTGCTCTGTGGGGTGTGCTGGCCCCTGGGGACACGGGGTAGGGGGCCACAAAGCACATCTCCAGGTGGAGACACCTGGATTGCAGGAGGATGGCTGTGCCCAGGTGTTGATGTGCCCGATGGCTCTGCTGGGGCACCCAGGAAGCAGAGGGGTGCAAGAGGAAAGCAGCTGCCAGGGAAGCCCCAAGCCCAGGCTCCCAAACCCAGGCTCCCAAACCCAGACCATCCCTTCACCACAGAAGCGCAGAATAGGAGTAGGGGAGCAACAGGGCAATGGAGGGCAAGGAAGGAGAGGAGAGAGGGGACCCAGAAGGAGCAGGGTGGTTGCCCTGGGCTGAAGGGCACAGCCAGCCCAAGCAGGCATGGAGCTTGAGTTCCCCCTCTCTGTGAGGCTGAGCTGGCTCTGAGCAGAGCCAGCCTGCGCTGCACTGTTGCCAGGCCCATAAGGAGCAGCCCTTGCCCCCATCAGCCCTCACTGGCCCCTCGTGCACCAACCATGACCAGCATGGCCTGAGGGAGGGCTGAGCCCCTCAGAGAGTGGCCCTGGGGCTGCGAAGCAGGAGTGGAGGTGTGAGCAGCAGTGCTCGCTCCAGGCTGGTGCAGCTGGCACCTGAATTGTCTAATAAAGTGTGAAATTGCTTTCATGCTCTGCTACCTTTGCTGAGATGGACCGTCATTACGGCCCCCCCTTCCCAGCCCGCAGCCGGCTGCGCCGATGTCCTGCTGTCGCGGCGCTGCCAGATGAGCCCCAGACTGGAGCTGTGCCTGGCACAGCCCCGCGGGACCGCTGTGCCGGGGGCTGCCCGTAGTCCCTCCGTCCCCTCCCCTCCCTCTCAGCCCCTCCGCTGTGCTCGCCCCTTGTAAAAGCACAAACTGCTGCTGCTGCATCACCCTGGATGGGGGCAGATCTCTGCCGTGGGGCTGGGGGGTGCCCTCCCACTTCCTTACCCCTATCAGATGCCCTCGGGGTGCAGGGATCAGCTCAGGTTCCAGCCCTGCCCTGGGGCTGTACCGCTGCCAAAGCCCTGCCCTTGCCCATCAGATACGGCCCTTGAAGAGATATGGCTCCATCCGGAGACAGGACTCCATCCAGCTGTGCCAGGAGCCGCCTCGGACCCTCGCTCAGGCAGCAGAGAGCTCCCACCTTGGCAGGGACACAGGGTCAGCCTGGTTCCCCCTCACCGGTGGGTGACTAATTGCTGCTGAACCACCTGGATGGGCACAGACACTGTTCTCCAGCTCTAATAACAATAATCAATCATCCTGCTCTGGGCAGGGGTTGTGGGAGATTTTCCAGAGCTGGGGAGCTGGTGGGGCTGGTGGGGAGATTGTGGTGCCAGTGGTGGGACTCCCCTGAGGGGACAGAGAAGTCTCAGCTCTGGTGGTGGCTTTCCTCCTGCACTGCCTGCTGGGAGGGCAATCCATACCTAGGTACACCCTGCAGGGGGAAGTGCCATCTCTTACTGCTGGTGCTCCTGGGTCTGTGCAAGCTGTGATTTTGGAGGGAAGACCAGCTGGGAGCCCAGGTTGGGCATGGGACACAGGATGCTCCCTGCTCCAGAGTATCCCGCGAGTCCCTGTGCCAAAGGGGCAGACACGAGTGCCATGGAGCTGCTGAGTGAGACCAGCCTGGGATTTTTGCAGGGATCAAGATACTTTGTCCCAGGAAATGGTGCCACGTTTTCCCAGCCACTGATAAAGTTAAACCCTTGATCTGGTTTAAGATTTAGCCCACAAGGCAAGCCTGGGTAGGACATCAATGTTGTTAGTGCCACCGGCTTGGTGACACTTGCCCAGGGGTCTGGCCCCACTGCCTCCCACCTGTAGCTCAGCTCAGCTGTTGGAGCACATTCCTGCAGCCAAACCCCCCTATCAGATCACATTCCCAGAGTCAGACCCCACTATTAGAGCACATCCTGGCAACCAGGCCCCACTATCCTTGGGCTGCATCCAGGCTCCTGCATGAGGAATGGAGCTGGAGCATCCCCAGAGGCTGAGCTGAGGCCGGGCAGGCAGATGGCACATGGCCAGGGAGAGGAGCATCCCGCCTGGAGCTGCTCTTTCTTTGGTGTAACTTTATAACCCATGTCCTGAAGCCGCCTGCCCTGTCTGCAGTGCCACCCGTCTGGGGGAGGCTTCACGCCTTTGGGAAGCCAGCCGGGTCCTGACATGAGTCAGCTGGAACAGCCAGGCAACACTATCCATCACAAATAGCTCATCCAGTCCCTACCCCCTGCCCCTGCCCCACCGTGACCCGGGGGGACCCCAGGCAGGATCTCAAGCTGGTGGTCCTGAGGCAATGCAGCCTTTCCCCTGGGGCTTCCTTGGCCCCATGGCACAAGGGCTTCATCTGCTGTGGCAGCAAAAGGCAGATCTCTGAGGGCTTGTCTTGTCCCCAAGGTCACTCTGCTGGCTGGAGAGCACCTCAGGGCTTTCCAGAGGCCACAGGAGGTAAG